CCCCCCCCCCCCCCCCCCCCCCCCCCCCCCCCCCCCTTTCCCCTCCCCTCCGGTTTTCCGTGGGAATTCCTTCACGGCTGTTTCACACGGGCGACTCGCTCACCTCGTCCGCGAGCACGGGCCTGCCTCTGCGGTCTCGAGTGATTCATTCTCTTTTTCCATTTCCCTTCCGCTGAAGGCTTCCCGAGGCCACGGGCGCAAGGAAATGGATAGCCTTCGTCTTCATTAACGAAGGGAAATTCCGGAAGAACGATGATAATATATCTATATGCATGCGTCGGGTGGGGTCAGGGTCTCGCCTCTGGGCGGTTAATTTCCCTTCCGATAGCAAGAAAAGATATTCGAAACCAAATGAGAATCGAGGGTTCACGCCCTCGAGCGCAAAACAAAAGCGTTAAAGCTCACCGAACCGTGATGTCACGGTGGTCACGGTGGTCGCGTTATCGTTAAAGTAGAACAAATAATTTCGTTTCTCGACGAGACCCATCTGTCTCCGAGAACATAATTGCCACGGGGAGAATGGAGTGGATTCGCCTTCATTCTTCTAGAAACAAATTGAGAGGCTCCAACCCTCGCAGACGCCAACGAAGCCATAAATGACGAATCCCCAAATCGAGCAAATCAACGCTGCGTCTTGCCCGCTGCAAGGGGGACATTTTTTTCAGCTCTGAATACCTTGTGAAATATGACGAAAGAATCAGGAAGTGCGTATCACTCAGCGAACGATTTGAGTTCTCAGCATCCTAAATTCAGTGTCGCACCCAGGAAAAAAGCGCCGAGTTCGTGAAGGGAACACCGTTTGTCAGGAACGTACGCGGAAGGGGGGAGAGGGGGGGGGGAGGGGCAGGGGAAGCAGGGGGGGGGGGGCGGGGCGGGGCTGGGGGCAGAGGGTGCAGAGGGCTCGACCTCCCCCCCCTGCAATTGCCACTTGTCTGCCTAATTGCACAGTCCTGCCTTCCTAAAATTCTGCGTGAGTCACGGCCGGTTGCTTTTCCAATTTTAGTTCTAAGAAATGTAAACATTAACGCAGAATATGAACCGTTTCCCTCGCGCTCGTTGTAGGAAATTCTCGCATTCGAGGCGGGAAGAAAAGGAAATGAGCGGGGAATAAAGAGAGAGACTCCGTCTGTTTCTTCTCACTGGATCCTGGAAATCGATAAGCCGATGGGAACTCTGCCTCCGCACTTTTTTTTTTTCGTTCTTGGGGTCGAACTACGAGGGAATCGCGATTCGAGACCAACGGGATTGTGCAGAACGAGTTTCAACCTGTTTTTGGGCAAATAATTTAGCACTTCCGCGGAACCGTTGCCAAAACTCATCCACGACGGAAAGAGGAAACCGAAAAAAAAGTTTGTTGAAAAGGAAATGATTCACCCTGAATTCGACTCTGTCACGAAAAGATCTGAAAACCCATTAAATTTATCAGATTTTCCGTGTTTGCATAGCGTTTCCCATCTTCCGAGACTTTTGCTTGCTCGGGAAGCCGCCGAAATGACGTGCAGATCCGGCACGCAAATCGCGTCCATCATGCATGACGGCTTATCGGTCCGGCCACGGATCCCGTGCGATAAGCCGATTATCCCGCTGCGCCTCTAGGGCTGCCGGATCATCCCGGATGAAAGGCAGGATTATGTCACAGCGAATCAGATAGCGAGTCCTGATGAAAAAGGACGAGCCCGAGTGGAACAGAAAATGCGAAAAAGGGTGGTTCAAGTTTCACCTGCAATTTTTTTTAAAGCAGAGTTATGCTGGTTTAAAAAAAATGGGAGAACTTATTTATTATTTGATGAAGTAGTGAAGTAGTGTTGATTTTATCGCAATCACGCGTTTCCTGCCTTAATTACTTGCTCTGAAAGCTAAGATGACGGCACTCGAGGCAAGGTGGAACAGCGAATAATTACGAAATTCCTGATCAGCGAGAACACAAAACTCGTCGAAATTCACAGACGATCGCACGGTACGACGATGGATCGCCCGCCGAGGACATCCGCAGGGCATCCGCAGGCCATCCGCTTTCGGCAGATGAAAATCGACGTGAAAGCTGTGCAGGTGGCGGGGTATGGGTTACCAACTAAATTTTAACTCTGGATACGTTAATCTGCCTTTCACGACCCAGATGTCCAGGTGAAATTTAAACCACACTCGTGAAATGTAGCATTCCGGAAATACGAAATCATAGCGGCGGGGTATCTACTGAGATAATCCTGAGATAATGAGGATAATGACTAGAATCCTGAGCTTTCGATTCCCACCGCTCAATTTTCCGAATTTTTTTTTTAGAAAACTACTTTAAGACGAGCACGATTAACCCCTTTCCGCATATTGCGTCAAATATAATACAAACCACCAAATTGAGGTCATTTACATGCCTTTTCGACGAAGAGCAATGACGTGGCGTGTTAGACACGAAGCTCCTGACCCGTCTGAAACGTGGAGCCACTGGGCGAAACTCAGCTGTATATAATTTTGCACATAAGCTTTTTTCACGGCAAAAGAAAAATTCCCGCAAGGGTTTTTTTTTTTTTTTTTTACAATCGTACGGGTCTTTCGCTGAAATTCACCACAGTAGTAAAAATCGGACACAACCGCGGGTGGCCTCGCAGCGAGGATGAAAAGCAGGAAGTCGGAATGCATCGAGTAGGAATGAGGGCTTCGAGTGAAAGTGAAGAGAAACGAGCGGAGACCCTGGGGATCCGGACCACCATCACTTAGCATGCTGTAAGGCGATACATGCTTGCATGAAGGGTGAATCATGCCGAAGGGTGATGCATACCTAAGGGTGATGCATGCTGAAGAGTGATGCATGTTAAGGGTGATGCATGCTGAAGGATGATGCACTCGAGACAGGCTCCCTCTCTTCCTCGCGTCGCCGTCTGTCTCCGTTCTGGAAGGCTGCGATTGGTGAAGGGGGTGGAGGGCTCATCAGCGGGTGAGCGATGCTCGCACGGTCTGTGTGTCACGCTTCGGGGACCAGCTCGGGGTCCGGCGCCCGAGGCAAGAGACATGTGAGGTCTCACGCCTCGTGCGTGGGTCTCACGGCTTGGATTCGGTCTTATTATGAATTAGAATGTATCATTAATCGTAATTAATCGAATTTTCACCGACCCTCAAATCTCATTGAATGCCCAATGAATGAATACAATTTTGGCGACAGAAGTCCGATGATAACGAAGACAGTACGAAAAAGTAGCAGCTTGTGAAAAGCAGTCACTCTCGAGTGGCTCAGTCTTCGGCAAGTGAACATGCGGTCTTTCCTTCAAAGATGGAAGCGCAAGAACAATGGCAACACTTTCCGGATGATGCGTGAAAAAGGGACACGTGAGGACCCCCTCCCCCCCTCCCAAAAAAAAAAATTAGAGAAAGCCTTCACACCATTTCCAGTTAATTCTAAGCGAATATTGCCGTCCTGTCCAGTCGTAACACGTGGGAGAATCGGGAGATTGCGAATGGGTGTAACAATGGGAATGATAAGAACAACGTCCGTCCTGTCTGCTTCTGCACCGCGATGTCTCTTCGCGTCAAACGGAGCAGATACCTATTTACTGTAGACCGTGTCACACGGGTCCGTCCTTTCCCGTATAACGACTTTCATTCACATCACTGTCTGTCAAGGCTGCCGTACGCGACCCGAGGTTCCGATGAAATCAGTCGTCGGAAGCACATCCGATCGCGACACCCACACTTGTCCGACGATGGTCCGACGACTCTGACCAGCCTGACACCGAGAACCAATCAAAAACAGCGCAAGTTCCCCATCTGGCCTGCAGTCGTGGATGACGAAGCTACTCTCGGCTCTATTCCTCTATTCTCTTTTCCTCGTTTGTCTCCAGGAAGAATCGTGCATGACATCGAACCAGTCAAGAACGGCAGCGTTTTCCGGTTGAATTCGGCAGTTTTTCCTCACTTGATTCCGATAGGGTTTTAGCCGACTACAAAGTCATCAAGCGAAGGTGGCAATTGTAGAAACCGCCGCGGCCAGTTCGGAGCGTGGGCATTGTCCAAGGCACGTCCTCGAGCAGCCGCTTCTCCCTGACGTGGCACGTTTTGATTGGTCCCCCCACGTGCAGAGTCGGATGAAGCCTCACAGCAAAATATCCAGTCCTCGCGCGACCGCGCTCACGACGAGAACTTGATCCCGAGCTCCTTGTGGGGGAAGAATCGCCTGGCGGGGGATGCTGGCTCTGATAGAAAATGCGGTTACAGGATCATCACGAGGAATCAGAGTGAAGGACGTCGAAAGACGAGAGGAAAAAGAGGCGAGAGGAAGGAAGGAAGAAAGAAGATAATGGAAAGAAAATGATACCAGAATGAAGAGCGATTCCCTCTTCCTCCACATGAATGAACAACGTACGACCGTCTCTTCCCCCCCAGAGACTGCCTCGATCCCGATGAAAAACAGCATGTTCGTATATCCTCCTTTTCCTCCATCATCCTTCTATTCGGTGCATCGAAGCTGGCTGTGCATCGATGTCCATTGCTGTCCATGCTATGGCGGATCAGAATGAACTGGAAATGATGGATTACTTTTCATTATCAGGAAGTTAGTAGAAACTGGATTAAAGTTCGATTAGTCGCTTTGATGGCTCGTGATTAATCGATGAAACGTTTGAATCGATTGGAAGCCCCAGCATTTATAAAGTGTAAGTAATCTCTCGTTTTCCGATCCCGGCATCTTGGGAACTGTGGGACAGCCACGTCCAATCATTTAAAACGTGTCTTTGCGATGCTTTCGAAAGAAAATCTTAAGGAAAAGGGGAAATGGAAGCCTGACAGTCTACGAGGAAACGAAAAAAATACAAAAAATTAAAACGTGGGCATTTAAAAGCAGGAAATATTAGCTTCCTGACCATTCCGAACCGCAGCAAAAATGATTCCCCTACCGAGAATCGTT